TCTCTACGCCGATGACGTCAGTACGGGGGGCCATAGCATTGAAGAGAGTTTCAAGTTTTATGAAATTTCTAAAGAGATAATGAAACAAGGCGGTTTTAATCTTCGAAAATGGCACTCAAATTCAGAAGAACTCACAGAAGAAATCGCAGAATTAGAGAAACAGCAACAATATAAAGAAACAGATAAAGAAGTTGTTTTAGAAGAAGATGAATCATTTGCGAAGACAACGATAAGTGAGCCATTTGCACAGAGAAACACACAACAAAAGATTTTAGGCCTAAACTGGGACAGTAAGGAAGACAACCTCATTTTCGACTTTTCACAGCTTGTCGCAGTCTCAAAAAATGTATCTGTAACAAAAAGAAGCGTACTTAGCCTAATTGCCAAGATATTTGATCCATTGGGGCTCATATCTCCTATCACTTCCATGTTAAAGGTTTTCATACAAAAGCTATTCAGGCTAAAACTAAGTTGGGACGAAATTCTCCCAGAAATTCTATTCAACGAATGGACAGCTATGATGTCAGAGCTCACTCAAGTTCACCTGATAGCAGTACCACGATATTACTTCGGAATTATTCAAAGCAAGGCGACGAAAATAGAGCTCTTTGGGTTTTGTGATGCTTCATCAATCGCTTTTGCAGCACTTGTATATGCCAAAATCACATCTTATGGACAGTCGTCTATACAATTGGTTTGTTCAAAGACGCGTGTTGCTCCCCTTGCTAAACATTCAATACCACGCCTCGAGCTTCTTTCTTGTTTGATATTAGCAAGGTTAATCAGCACTGTACAAAATTCATTCAGTCCACTTTTCAACGTCGATATCATGCAATGTTGGACAGACTCTCTCGCGGCGAAATACTGGATAAAGGGTGTGAGCAAATATTGGAAACTATTTGTAGAAAATCGCGTTCAAGAGATTCGAAAGTTGGTCGACCCTCAGCTGTGGTCACATTGTCCAGGCAGCCAGAATCCAGCTGACATTCCGGCGCGTGAAATGGATGTGGAGCAGTTCAAGCAAAACACGATTTGGTGGAATGGACCAAAATGGCTTTTAGGTACGGAAAGAGAATGGCCTAATTCTTCAATATCGGACACGCTACCACAGGAGTGTTTGGATGAAATGAAACATCCGCAAAGGACCGAAAAAACAGCAGTTCTCAAGACTACGGTCAAAGCACCAAGTATTCGAAACTTCATTGACTACGATCGTTTCAGTGACTACCAAAAACTTCTCAGAGTTACTGCATACGTATTACGATTTATACAGAATTGCCGAAATAAAGTTCGCGGAAATCAAGAAGAGCTTTCAGTAGAGGAAATCAATGATGCAGAAATCATAATCATACGTGAAGCTCAAGGCTCTTTCGACGAAGCCCATCTCAAGAAAATCGAGAACACTCTTGGCACATTTGTAGACAGTAACATGCTTATTCGTTGTGAAGGTCGTTTAAAAAACTCAAGCTTACCCTTCGATAGCAGACATCCTATTTTGGTGCCGAGACATCACAAGATAACTAGTCTGCTCATTCTTAGTTGCCACGACAAGGTTATGCATAATGGCACAAAGGAAACTCTCGCCGAACTACGCTCACGTTTCTGGATAATCAAAGGTTGACAGGTAGTAAAAATGATCCTGAGGAAATGCCTTAATTGCAAAAAAATACAAGGGCTTTCGTATGGTGCTCCGAGTCAAAGTCAGCTACCAGAGTTTAGAGTTCAAGAGAAGCATGCATTTTCATCTGTGGGTATCGACTTCGCAGGTCCACTGTACGTAAAATCCAGCTCTTCACCATCAAGGAAGGTCTATTTAGCCCTTTTCACGTGCGGGATTTCACGAGCCGTGCATCTAGAAGTAGTTCCAGACCTTTCTACAAGCGCCTTTCTTCGTTGTTTCAAGAGATTTGTCAGCAGACGTGGAACGCCAAGTATTATCGTTACTGATAACGCCAAGACATTTAAGGCTGCTTCCAAACAATTACAGGCTATGTTAAAATCCACAGAATTGCGAACATATTGCAATTCAAGAAGAATAAAGTGGTACTTCAATCTCTATTGTACCCTATAGAAGTAAATCAAAGACGCACAGTTACCGAAGTCGAGGACGTAGATCACAAAACAGATGAAAGACCAAAGCGAAAAGCCGCCATGATAGCGAAGGAGCGAATCGATATTATTGACCAGCTCGACTATCTTATGTGAACCTTGAATGAACGCTGGCCAAAGGGGGAGTGTAGGAAATTGTGAGCGCTCCTTCCTATCTCTCTCTCTCTCTCTCTCTCTCTCGCTCTCTTTCTCTCGTTGATTTGTATATAGTTGTTGTTGTTGTTGATTGAATTCAGTTGAAAAGAAGATTTCTTGCTTACGAACGACGACGACGTGAACGACGTGAATTATATCTCAAAAAGAACTCGCGATAGATGCGAACGACAGTCACGATGAAGGAAGATAGATGCGAACGATTCACGTAAAGAACAATATTCAAAATAATACTAAATCAAGACCTTGATGGACCGAGGTGACTTCGTTAAAATTCTTACGTTATTTTCTTCTCTCTGGACGTTAATTCTTCTCTCTGATTAATAATTCGTGGTTGTTTATGTCATTATATTCGCTGATGTTTATACTTTATCTTGCATATAAATTCGAATAAGAAATTATACAGTCCTCTGACTTTGATATAGAATTTGATCTTCAAGACGAATGAACCTATATGGTAATTCTAACCTGCCAAGTAAATAGATCTTAACTATTTACATCTTAGTAGTGATTCCTGGCAGGTAATTCTCTAAATATTTTCCCAATCCATATGAACATCAATATCTTGAAGAGGCTCGTCTTCAATTTCCAGCATAATATCTTCAACCTCAAAATCCTTGAAAATGTTTCTGACGACAGAGAGGACTGCAAGTTTGTGACTCTTTCGCCAGATCTCAGCAAAATGCATTAAATCCTCTAGCAATGAAATGCTGATAGATGCAGCTAGGATCTGTCGTATTTGAAAATGACCAAACTCACAGTGAACTGAGACAGGGCAAAAACCGCCTTTAGCATCAATGAAGTTGCTGTGATCTCTTCTTTAAGTTTTAATAGCTGTATCTGTAATTCAGCTTGATCAACATCACTGACTTGGCGTGTTAATAGTGGCTGATAATTCTCAGTGTCTTGTTTGGTAAACAAATTTTTCTCTGGAACAAATTTTTGGCAATCAACTCCACAGCTGCAACTTTTTGAACAAATGTAACAACATTTGTATGTTTTGGGTAGGTTACTAGTGGAAAATGAAGTAAAGTACTTTCCCATGGCTTTTCTAGACGGCAGCTATTTGCATGAACAATTTCCTGAATAGTTTTGTCACAATTTGCAGTGAGAATTCCATTATAGAGTATATATGCTGTGGAGTCTTCTCTATCCCTTTCAATTCGACCTGTTACCTGGAGCAATGCTTCCATGGACAATGATGGCCCAAATGTATGCTTCGTGGAAATCCTTTACAATTAATGCCCATGCCAAAGGCAACAGTACAAATCAGCACTCTCAAATGACTTTCTGCATTTGTCATTTCTTTCACAATATGTTCCTTTACAGCATCTGAGGTGCCAGCATGAAACATGTCAACATACCGTCTTTTTGGAAAACAATTTTCTCCATCATACAAAGCATCGCCAAGCTCAATTGAAAAATTCTTTCCAAGTTGTATGTGGTTGTGTGGCTTAACTGAAGCATTGAAAAAATTGCAAATTTCATCTCCCGAGTTGCAGTAGCTGTGAATATTGCAAACTGTGTATTGGAGAGTAACAGAGACTTCAGCTCAACAAATTTGCTATACCATTGACGGAATGGTAGAGAGACTTTCTGTGATGTACCCCTAAAATTTGTAAGATATTATACCATAAAGATATTGCAATAAATTTAAGTCACGACAAAATTCTTCTTAGCTAATTTAAGAGAAGTTTACATACAAAGTCAAGTTTAACTATTTAAAGTTCAGGTATGGTCAAAAACTTTGCCAATTTTGAAATAAAAATGCTTCTATTGGTAAAATCAGAATCTATTATTAAAATAAATGAAAAGTGCAGTTACTGATGTGCTTTTCTGCCAAATACTGACGAAAAATTCCAGTGAAATCAGTAAGTGTCACTGATGTTTTGACTTATGTTTTTAATGCAAAAACAAAACAAAAAGTAGTTGCAGCAAAAACAACATGGGCCATGGAAACGAGTCTGGCAGATCTATATACAAATTCAGAGTAATGCTTCATTACAATAATCGATTTACATGCCATTATGGCTGCCAAAATAAGGTAAGTAAAATAAAATAAAGATAAATTAAAATGCGCATGTGAGTTCTCATCAAGTTTTACCATGTTCTGTACATTGGCTCTGTGGGGATTGAGGTTTCAGGGCTCACGAAAAATTTTACAGCGAAATATTCCCCAAACCTAATCACACAAAGAATAGGAAATGGTTGTCTTTTTCAATCTTACCATTGCACCCTGCAGTGTGCTTCATCAACAACAATGGCAACGCAGCTCTCTCTGAATGATGCCGATGAAGCAAGAGCCTGCCATCTTTTCATCGACAAGAAGGTCTCAGGCGACACATACACTAAGCTATATACTTCTTATTCAACCAAGGCTAAGGTTTCCTCCACTTGTGCTTCTTCAAGGTCAGTGCATAGTTAATAGAGGTGAACTCTGGTTATGAAACACGGCGCACTTCAAAGGCCCGCCTCATTGTTCTCCATTGGAGGTTGAACTCGCGTGTCAGGTGACCATGACCGTGCACAAGTTTGATCAAAACATGGCGGTTGTCAGTGACGAATTCGTATTTCGAGACGATTTTGATGCTATTTTGGATGCCCTCGAAGACGATGATGCGGTACAAGAAGAATTCAATGCTGCCATAGAAAAGGTGTGTATTGATGCTGTATGTAGGTGCCTCATCACTATAATTTTCCTGAAAACGCCTGTATCGATAGTTGTCCTTTTCACAACGATAAAAACGTCCTATCCAGATTCCCTAGTTTTACCTAGCCTAAAAGTTTCTAATATGTATTTTAGCATAAACAATTTTGGTGTTAGCATTAAGATATAGAACCTTAGGTGCAAGTTAATGATTTATTGGCCAATAGCCGGCGTGAGTGTTACATGGATTTCATCCTCAGAAAGAACTTAGAATCGATGTTAGGCTTCAATACCAACGCAGCACAGATTTCAAAATTAACTCAGAACGCAATAGTTGAGAATTCCAAGCTCTAACCCCTTTATGCTAAAATAGGAACTGGGCTATGACATTATTTCCATCAATGTTCTTTAAACTTTATATACCTTACAGGAAAGATTGTCTGAATATGAATTCATAATGGTAGCATATTCTTAGGCATAATTATTACTTTTCTAGGTTGAAAAAAAAGACAGCCAATGTGAAAAGTGTGGCAAAATATGTAGAACTATTGCAGGCATGAAGAGGCACATAACAGCAAAGCATCCTCAAGAAAACAACAATGGCCACACAGAGAGTTCAACATTGCAAAATTGCAATATGTTAACTCCTGCTATCCTAAAGTCTTTGGCTGAGAATGCAGCTACTAAAATTAGAAACAGTGCTGTTTTCTCTAAACCAATTCAGCATGAACTCTCAATTTATCAGCTGACTGAGCTTGAAAAATGTAGCCCACAGTTCAAAATTCTTTACGATATATACAACTCTTTTCAAAAGAACAGGGATTCAGAAAAGTTCTACGCAAGTTTTTATGCGTCTGTCCCATTGAAATCAAGAGATTTCTTTCCAGGCCTGGCATCAAATGCAGCAACTTTACTTGCTACCAAGCTTGCAGATATGATGATTGTTCATTTGAAAGAATTGACCCAGAAAAATCCAAAAATACATTGTAAAGAAGTGTGTGAAAGAGAACTAGGAGGGCTACAGTATATTGGAGGGTATGTTTTGCATAACCTGCACAAAAATACAGAAATGAAAAAAATTGGCGTTCATTAGAATGCCAGCATTCGATGGCAATTTCACATGCCTGTAAAGCAGATGATGCAGACACTTCAGACAACCGCCTTGTTGCATGTTAAACAGAGGCGGTCTTTGGGCAATCAAAAAAGAATTGGAGATGGTTTTTTTAATAACAGAACAATACTTCAGGGCAGAAAAATCAACATCTGGAGTTGAAAAGTTAAATTTTCAAGGTATAATTAATGCAGCAATGAATGATGATCATCTCAACAGCTTGTTTGCTTCTGTGGTTTCAGAAATTGACATATGCCCAAGCTCCTACTTAGTCAAAGATCTGCTCTTTAGTATCCTCTCTTTGTATGTACGTGTACGTTGCTTTTCACATGCACGTGATATTATTCAGCAATACAAATTGCACTCAAGACAAGTGCGATCTAAAGGATTAAGAGCCGAAATAAAAAGACAAAGTGGTCATAAATCAAAAGTTCAAAAATAGGAAAATGATATTGTTGTTATAAAACTGGAAACAATTTTCTTTATTATTTAAATACATTTAACATCTAGCTGACACAGTTCTGATTTTAGTAACTTTATACATGTTGTGACTAGTACCTTAATTTAAGTAATTTTAATAGAATTTGCATTCTCATGATACAGGATGTCTCATAAAACAAATGGTTGCTTCCTTGTCAAAATTTAACTTGAAAGTTTACTTTGAAAATTGCAGTTTGTGTATAAGATTTGTAAGAATAAGGATGCTTAGGAGCTTAACAGTAAGGGTGTGCACACTTGAATAACTGTTTATGCTCAGTACAAACTAAAACAGATAAAGTCTAATAGTCAACCTATTTATTGAAGCTATGTTTGATTTTTCGACAGGGCACTGGGTCATTAGAAACATTCCACCATGATCTGGATTTATCTTTCCTCCCTCAAGTATTTCCACTTTCACATGAAATTGACCTTTGTGTGCGAATTGTATTTGCATTGTATCCAAACTGCCGAATGTCAGGATTGTCATTCCTCCTACCAAGTTTTCGCTGGTTGCCAAAGTATTCCTCTACGGGATCCTGACAGAATCTTTCTGTCAAAACAAAATCAACTCCTTGACATATCAAATATTTGGTGGCCTCTATAACTGAATATGTTGTTATTTGCAATCCCTCGTAAGTTTGTCTTGATAGAAACATTTTTGCCTTACCATTTTCTGTAAACTGCCCAGGCCTATGATCCACACAACCTTTCCATGAAGAGAAATTGGCTAGAAATTCATTCTCAAGCCAGTTAAATCTGAAATCATCTTCCATGGTGCAAGGTAAGGTTTTCTCTTGAGCAGGTGCTCTTTTCTGCTACGTACATTCAGACAGTCGAAAAACTTGTCGAACATTTCACAGAATTTTGCAGTTCCGGATTCTGCATGGCTGCCATATTAATATAGCACTGAAGAAACTGATGCACTTAAGATTTGTGCTGCAAGGCTAACCCTCATAACTGAATATGAGGTTAGCTTGATGTGGTCATAGGAAAGACGTGGCAAAAGCTTCAGGCCATTATCAATATCACTGTCATACCAATTGGCGATATACTCCCATAACAAATAAAGGCCATCATTCCACATATAGCGGGTGCAAGAACTCGATCCTGAATAGTATAAACAGCTTCGTGCTGTCTTAACTAGATGTGGTGCATCTGAGAAATATATATACCTCTCTGGAGCATATAAGTTGGTTGTGCGATAGCAAACATCCTTTCCTGCATTACCATCAAGACTTTTGTGCATATTAAAAAGCTTCCTGTTTTGAGAAGCACCACCAGCAGTAGCTCCAATGACCATCAACTGACATGTATCCTCAAGAATGCAAACAGCATCCCAGAATAATGGCATCATTTGTGCAGCAGTGACAGAGCTTGTTGCAAAGTAAGCCAAGCAAAATTTAAGCTCAGTGCAAATGCCTCTTATCAAAAAAACCAAGGCATGTGATGCAATGTCATCAGCTTTGTCTAAAGTAGCGTAATTGGTATCTGGGTCACCTAGGTCAACATACCCAATAGGTTCTCCTGTGATTTTATCAAAAACAAGGTTAGCCATTACTTTCATCTCATCCATAAGCAAGACTACATATCTTTGCACTCCAAAATATTTTTCTGTCTCTTTAATTAAAGTACATATGACTTTCTCTTGGAAACCTGGCTTTGGACGTATCCAATTCCTATAGTCTTTCAAGCGCCTTTGACTTGGCAACACCAAGACATTACTCTGACGAAGTTATTCATAGCAAGAAGGAGATTTAGCAGCCAAAGAAAGGCAGAATCGAATCAACATTGGATGATATCGTACTCCATTTCTGCTTCTGCTAAAAAGCTTCTTTTGCTGCTGCCAGAATAGTGTCATAAATGGAGATAAAATCTTCTCAGAATTGTCCAGAATTTTAACAAAGTCATCACTCAACTCAGGGTCAACAGGAACACTAGACTTTTTAATTTCAATTTTCATTTCCTCTATTTGCCTCTCAAGTTCTGCACATATCAGTCTTTGTTCCTGAAGTGTCAGTTTTATTCTCTCTGGTGCTGTCTTTGACACTGGTGCATTTGGATGTGCAGATTCTTTGACTTTAATTCATGTGATTTATTGGCTTTTGCAGCTTGCTGTGCACATGGTAAACACTGCTCACCTGGAGAAATGATACTGCACCAGATGGAGCGCCAGTACTCTTTTCTTGGATACTGCTTAGAGCTTTCATCCATAGATAATCTTTTCTTTGCAACGTATTCATCTGTTAGGATAGCCATTTGAATTAATCGAAGAAAATAACTACGACTTAAATGAAGTGGAAGGTCAAATAAATCGATGACTCAGTTTGGCCTAAAGAAGAACAGCGTATTATCCCTTTAGGATAACCGGTCAATATATATAAAATAAAACATAATATATAAATAAGACACTTACAAACTTCTATCTCATGTGGGTGGAAGTGTTCTTCGCAGGTGTGAACTGTGTCCTGTTCTATTTGCCTTTTAAAATTTGCATCCAGTTCTCTGTGCTTTTTTAATTCATTCAGCCATGAGCCCGCCACTCCTGGTAGGGCTTCGAAGGACGATTTGGGACTTTAAAGATCCCGATCCCTTTAGATCTCCAAGATTTTCCACAACCATACACCGAGCAATTATCTCCTGGCATATTGACGTAAACATAAGAGGGGGCGATCTATTTATCAAAAGGACATCCAAACTTTCACCAAAAGTCCTACCATGCCTAATTGCTCTAACATTCAACGCAAAGACTTGTGCACTGTCATTGTCACGTGACTCGAAATAAATCGAACAAAGAGTTCTTCTTTTGAAGTGCGCCGCGGTTCATAACCAGAGTTCTCCTCTATTAACTATGGTCAGTCAGAGCAACAGAACTTACTCCTGTCTTAGTGCGTAGGAATTCAACCTGATCTTTCATTAATGCTTTCAACGGTGAAATCACTAAAACAGTACTTGATTGGAATCATCTGGAAAATAATGACCTTTCCGAAGCCAGTTGGGGCACTAACAAAAATATCTTTTCCAGAAAAAAACTGTTGCAGCGCTGCATGTTGATCGCTGTGCAAATTTTTATGCAGATCTTCTATAGGAAAGAAGCTGCAGGCTACCTTCAAAGCGTCTTCGAATATTTCTTCGTAAATCCACATTGGCGAAAGGGTGAAATGGCATTGCAATAGGCCCTAACCTTGCATTCACATTAAAAATTTCGCATAAATTATATTCCAGCTTTCCAGAATTTAATTTATGCAAGAACACGGATATCTGCAATACACCACTTGGGCTAACCGCGCTGGTAGGATCGATCGGGAGACTGGGCCGAGATTTGGGTTGTAAAAAAATTCTTACCTCGGCAGTCACAGCAAGGAATTGTATGAAATCTGTTCAGGTACTGCTAAAACTGTGCAATAAAGTCACTGATTGTTACATTTTCTCTCGAATTTATTCATCTTATTGTGGTTTGTGAACTTCGGAACAGCTTTCTTCGAAGCTTCGAAGTACTTAGCTCGCACGCCGCAATCTTTCGGTCTTAATTGCTGTTTCGCACTTAGGGCCATTTGTACAGCACGAGTTGTCAGCTATGGTTAATGGTAATTGCGCTGTTTTTGGTTGTGTAAGCAGTCAATACCGGCTGAAAAAATGGAAGAAAGTTCCGTGTGGAGAGCATCCAGGAACGTTACATGAAGAATGCCCTTGTCCGCGGCCATACACTTTGCATTGTTTTCCAAGCAAACTTTTAAATGCTGAATCAAGAAATGAGTGAATTCGACTTATGAACAGAACCACTAAGAAGAACACTGCATGGGTACCAGGTGAAAGTGATTTAGTTTGTTCCCTGCACTTTATTGATGGGAAGCCCAGCTTACAGAATCCGAATCCAACCCTAAACTTAGGATATCAAAAGGCTGCCAAGAAACCAAGGAGAGCTTTGATTCGAAAGAACCCTCAATGTGCTGACTGTGTGATTGAGGCAGTAGAAGAGTCATCTGAAATGGCAAATATTTCAGATTCAGATATGCCTGTTGAATCAAGCATCTGTGAGCAATGTCTTGAAAAGGACACATTAATTTCAAGTCTGCCAGAGCAACTCCAGGCACTATCTCTTGAGGAGAATAAATTGAAAAGCCAAGTTGAAGGTCTCACAGCATCTTTGAGGTCACAAAGTCAGACACAACAATTTTCCTGCTCTTCCATTAAAACGGATAAAAAAATGAAGTTCTACACAGGCATAACAACAATTGCTATGTTTAACTTGATTTTTACTTGGATCAAGCCCTGTCTACCAAGAATGATTTTCTGGCAAGGAAGTAAGCGTATTTTTGCTTCTAGAGTATCACAAACAAGAAGGCGTTTCCAGAAGGTTTGTGGGAAGGATCAGTTCTTATTAGTACTAATGCGACTACGGTTGGGATTATTTAATGAAGACCTAGCTGACTGATTTTGCATTTCCCCAAGCACATGTTCTGTTATTTTTATTACTTGGGTCAAACTTCTAAGCAAGATGTTTGGTGAATCATTGTTGACTTGGCTTCCAAGAGATGTTATCAGATCAAATTTGCCTGCCATGTTTGTGCCAAAATATCAAAAAGTTGCTTGCATTATTGACTGCACAGAAATTTTCATTGAACAACCAAAGTCTGTTGATAGCCAAGCATCTACATGGTCAGAGTATAAAAAGCATAATACTTTGAAATTTTTTATTGCTTTTGCTATCTCAGACTGTTATGGTGGAAGGACAACCGACAAACATATATGCCAAGACAGTTCTTTTTATAAGCAGCTGGAGTATGGGGATGAAGTTATGGCACACCGTGGTTTCCAGATAAGGGAGGATCTCCTTCATTATTATTGCAAGTTGAGTGTCCCACCTGGGGCACGAGTCAAGTCCCAGATGACAAAAGAGGAATGCATGAAAACAAAGGAAGTGGCTAATCTGAGGATTCATGTTGAGAGAGCCATCAATAGAATTAAAGAATTTAAGATCTTGAAAAACATTCTCCCTATAAATATGCTTCCTCTTGCAGATGATATTGTGAGGACTTGTGCCTCACTTTGTAACCTTCAGCCACCACTGATCAAAGAGAAGTTGTAATAAAAACAATCATGACAAAGTAGTTTTCATTGTTACAAAAGTAATTTTCATTAGTAATTTTCAAAAGTAATAAAGAAAGTAATTTTCATTGTTACAATATGTATCTACATATATATGTATATGAACTAACCTATATATCAACATATATTCAACAGCTTGATACTATACTATATACTATACTATATACTGTTCTATATACTATACTATATACTATAATATATACTATACTATATACTATACCATACTATAGGAAGCTGTTGAGTACATGTTGATATAAGGAGTAAAAAATTTACAGTTTTGTATACACTATAGCAAATATAATACATGTGTAAAATAATAACGTTGAGTAACATTCTTGAAGACTTATATATATAGGTCTTCAAGAAAAACACTCTCATGTAAACATTTTGACTGAAGTCTCCATCAGTAATACTTTATAAATAGAATCAAAGAAAACAATTTTGTAAGACTTCAAGTATTATACTTAAAGAGCCTTTGCTGACATTCATGCTTTGCGCGCCCGCAAAACGTTTCGAGAATGGCAATGGCGACGAACGTCTACGGATCACCAATTGCTGTTCACGAAGAAATTGATAATTCGTTTAATGACAGGGAAGGAGACAGCGACCTTGAGGTAGGCTGACCTTTTTAGTAAATTATGCCTACTTTCTTACTTATCTGTAGCTGTTGCCTTATTTCCTACCGGCCCCCTCTTGGTGTTGTTAGGCCCAGAGAGAGCACCAAGATCATGACTTAAGTTCATGAACTGTGACGAATATTTCTTTAGAAAACAATATCAAGCTCCGCTTTATACCATTTTTGTACTTTTTTGGCCTTTTTTTTAACAGAGGCCTACTTGTGTATGTAACACCACTTGTGCCAGGAGGTCTGGGAAACGCCGTGGATGTCCGTGTAAAGATTCGAATTTGGCATGCACTGACGCATGTGCTTGTGGGAGGAAGAAACGTGGAACAGTCATAGAGTGGTGCTCCAATGGCAAAGTAAACAGCATACATTTATTCACATTCAATTAAAATAAATTAAGTCATAGACATAAGACTGGGGGCAGACATAATACGTGCCCTGCACACACTTTTCGAAAATTCAAGTAAAATGCCCCTTTGTTGCTAACATATTTCCCTTTTTGCCAACTAAATAACAAAAATATCTTGAAGTAACCATGTTTTATATAAAATGGACAAAGTGAGCAGTGGGTGGGTAACCTTTTGGAGTCATGATCTGAAATTTTTACAGGCTGTAATGAATTGTAAGTAATGAATTCGTTTTAAGAATGATGCAATCAGTATAGTACAACATTATCAATAATTGCAAGAAATGACTTTTAAGAAATATTCTGAAATGTATTTTAAGCTAATATAAAGGGCTTGTTTGAAAAACTTTCTTGTTATTCCATTTAGCCCCAGGGCCTCTGAAACTGTTTGGCAGGACTGCTCACAACTAGGTCAGAAACTAACATCTACATCACTAATCACATCTAAATCATCTATGTCCTAAAACAGCCCTTTTAAACCTCTCTGACTTTTTTAAAAAATGTTTTAGGGTGCCCCTTAAACATGTACCTCCCCATTTTTTATAATCCTTCCTATAATCTCAACCTAGGACCTAAACATTTGACCCCTGCAGTGCCTATTTAGGATTTGCAGGAAGACCATTTTCTGTCACATGTCAAACTTTTCACTTTGGAATCTTCCATCTGGAAATACAATATTATAAATTATGTCCAAATCTGTTGAATATTTTCATTTCAGCCAGGATCTGTTGACCAAATTGAGCAGGCAGCTGAAGTACAAGATGGGCATATAAATATGGAACAAGAAATAATTCAAGCAAAACAAAGAGTCCAGGTATTGTTTTCTCCGCTATTATTCAACCCATTGAGGGAACTCCTCCTTAAGAAATTCCACTCCAAACATATTTAGTGTTACTGTATTAATTTGTGCTAACCTTGTTGTTACAATTTTATTAAATGTCGTTTATTTAATAAATTTTTGTATGTTGTAGAATTTTGAAAATGAAAACTGAACTAAAATTAAAACAAAACTTTACTGAAATTATCAATGACAAGAGTAACTTTCATTTTTCAGAATGTAATAAATGACCTTCCAATTGAGACACTGCACAATTTGATAGTAGAGCTTGCTGTGACTGGAGAAGGGAGCTTTGAATTTGTGCAGGATTTGGTGCATGTGATTCAAAGTCCAAATCCCGAAGCTAACAGACCAATGGCCTTACCCTGGTGTAAATGTGGTGTATGCACTGAAATGGGAAAGGAAGAAGAAAACAAATGTTGCAAGAGGACAATATGTGTCACCTCATATTATATGTTTAAGAAGCTGTGTCTGGACAGGGATGTTCTTAAGCTGAACATAACTGCAAGATGTGATCTTAGGGCAGATCATATGACATTTACAATGAATTCATTTAGAAAGGCTGCCTATAGACAGTTTGCCCTCTGGAAGTATGGTCACTTGGGAAGTGGAAATCGGCGAATTTTACCAGCCTGTGTTGTTACTGTAATCCGTAACATGTATCCATCACCGACTGATGAATATATGGGGTTTAAAGCACACTAAATGAGAAATTGTTTAGCTTTAAATTAAGAAAAAAATTACTGATACGGTTTCTAATTGGCAGTAAGATTCTGCTTATCTGTATCAGGATAAAAAAATTGTTGATCATATATACAAAAGATATGAAGTTCAATAATGTCATTTTTTCTTTTCAATCCTTGTTAATTTTTCTGCAACTAATTGGCTTGTAGGTGGTGGCTTGGTTACTAAGTCTAAAGTTGGGGATATCAGTTTAGGGTCATTTGGAACTCTGACAAGCCTTTCCATTGCTGTGTCTTTCTTTTCTTTTCTTTCAACAACAATTTTTGCAAGCGGTATGGAATATAGCTGTAGCTTTTCTGTTCCTTAACAGGTTCAGCAGTAAATTTCCTGGAATTTTTATTATATTTTCTTTTAAAACACTGTTTACCATCTTGTGTAATAGCTAAAGGTCGATTTAAATGTATATTATGGTCAATAGCAGCCAAAGCCATCCGTGTCTTGAAATATGGATAGTCATATGCATTTCTTTTAGATGCATACTTCAACAGCATACTGTTAAAATTTTCTATCATGCCTGTATGCCTGAATTTTGAATAGTATGATAGGTTTGACAAAAGCTTTCTGTCAAGTACCACTGATCTGAGCTTTTCCAAAGCAACAGAATTCTTTAACAGGTACACCTTTGGCTCAGTTGACGAGAGAGGGCCATGCAGACATTCAGATTCCGCCCATATGTGTTCATTGCATACATGATGCAAAACACCAATCCAAATATCTTTCAGCTTTTCAGCATCACCATTTGAAACCTGACAAGCAAACCAAAAGTGGTTGACTATTGCAGCAATCCATGGTTTGAGTGATCTTGCAGCTTTGTCTTGTGCTGTTTTGTACAATTTCTTAGAAATATTTTTGGCAGCATGCCAAATATCAAGGCAGTGATTTAACTTTGACAGTTCAGGGTGTGAATCTGAAATGAAAAGATTAATTATGAATTCTTAAGTCCAAAATGCACATGGCAAGTGAGCATTCAATTGTTAATATAGAAAGAGTAAAAATAATAACAATTGCAATAACAAACTATGGAGAAAACCGGCTGATACAGCAGAAGGAATATCATAGATCTGGATATTAGCTTAAACTTTTGTATCAACCAAAAAACATGTGAAAGGCTTTCTTTGATGGTTCATTGGCAAAAACTATGAGTTTTTTCAAATATAATGTATCTACCTAAATCAGTTGAACCTGCCCCAAAACTAAAACCTGAATGGGTAAAAAATATTGCATAACATTATTAGATAACATGGGAAAATATAAGCATGTACTTTTAAGCTCTTGAATCCTCTTCATTATTGAAGTTGAGGCATCAGTGGTAATCTCTGAAATATCCAAGCATTTCATAAGAAGCAGCAATGTACGGGTGAGACCTTCTCTTTCCATATTTGTTGATATGCCACCAGTCTCTCTCTTGTCCAAAACTTCTAAATGGAGAACTGCATTGGTTATCAACTCCATGGTGACATATACACAAAATCGTGCACAGAAGCCAGGTGAATCATTCCTTCCATCTCCTCCAAGAATGTGATCATTATATGTTTTTATCACAGTAATGATGCTCGATTTCATTGAGTCCCACATTTGTAGAATTACAGGTGTGAAAAACAATCTCTGATTTCTGTAAAAGACAGATTGATCTGGGATTGCAAGCCCAAGAAACTTACAAAACCTTGCAAATTTTGAGTAATTGTTTCCAGACAATAATACGCAGGCAGTGACTAACAGATCATTCAAGTAAATGTCTGCATAGTGAGATTTTGAAACTATCTCAGAGGAAACCCACATTCCAAAGTGCTCATTTTTGCATGACCAGCGAAGTTTTATTGTACAGCCTTTCACATCACTTTCAAAATTCAAAACTTCATTGCATAGTTGACCATTGTTCAGTTTTTGCATGCAAAACTTCCCTTTCAACTCTTGTAGCTTCTTAAGTGACACTAAAACTCTATTTTGGTTTGCAAGCTTATATTCTGCATCTTCAATATTTGTTTGATACAGATCTTCCATTGTTTTGTGTACTTTTGCTTTCATTTCTTTTGAATTCACCTCTGATGATGCATATATTGCACCAGGTTGTCTATCTATAGTGGTCTCCAGTTCCATCGACTTTTCACATTGCTCATTTTCAACAAAGTATGTTCTAGTCAAATCTAGATCTGTCACTAAAGAAACAAGGTTGGCTCTGGAATCTTCTTTGGCATTTTCAGTCATATGCATTGATATTTCATCAATTTGATCTTGTGTCAAGCCATCATCATCCGAACTTGACAAAGAATCATAAACATCATCATCATCATCATCATCATCAGTGCTTATATATGCGCTACTTGAATCTGAGACATTGTCTGACTCAGAATTGTAGCTTTCTTCTACAAAGGGGTTCCCAGAAATTTGCCATAGTTGTTTGTTCATGCTGATATGCCTCATACTGTTGATATCTGAGTTAACAGTGCTGCCAAAAATTGTTTCAGATGCTTCTGATCCTTCTGATTCCTGCTCTTGTTCTACTTCAATTGCACTAAATTCCAATTTTTGTCTCTTTTTATTTTTGTAGGCAACTGGTGTTGATTCTTTTTGTGTTTCTGCAACAAAATAAACATGAATATATAATAAATGCATACTATTTGAAAGGTTCTGAACACCAGGGGTTGGTTTTTTATAAGCCAATGTAGACATAAAAAATATTGATTATCAATCTTTGAGTAGCTTTTACAATTTATTTTAGTCATGCACAATCGACTTTATTTGGTTAAGTGTTCTATATTTGTTTCTACCCTTATATCTTGCTTGATGTTAGTGTGTGTTGTTCTATACACCTGATGATTGTTTGCACATAAAACTTGAGAGTTGTGTTATAAGAGTTTGTTTATTTGAGTCTAACTGGTTGAGCACTTTAGACAGCCATATGAAAATTATGATATGATATAAATATACATTAAGTATATCTATATTTATAGTGTAATAATATATTGACATATTTCATATTCTATCTTTAAACAAGTTAGGAATATAATGATTTAAGTAAAAACTTTCAAAGTCTTCTTTTATCTGCACCCAAAAATCATTGTTAAATGCAAGTTTCTGTCTAAAATGGCCATACCATGTCCACACAAAGAAATGACAACTCTTTGTCTTTGTTGCAGCCATTTGAATTTGGCATTGTGTGTAGTATCTGTGGGCTTCATTTATTAGCAGACTATCATCAACTTGTTTCAAATATGGCAGTTTTACCTTGGGATCATAAGGTGTGGTGTGACGGATTGAAAAAGGGCATTTCACCTCTATACATGCCCTCCCACAGCAATCACATGAAACAATAGAGTCAGGGCTCCCACCAACAAATGGCATGTCTTCACATAAGAACAACCCACATGATGTTGTTTTTACATTCTTATGGTGCTTTTCAAACTCTTCCTTAAAGGATTCTATTGCAACTGGTTCCATTGCTCGTCCATACTTTAGAGATGGCAGTTGGTCAACCATATCTGTGGCCCCAGCAATTTTGGAATATATATTCTTCAATGAGTCTCTCTTAGAATCCCCCTTTCTCAAAGTGGCCATACAAGTTTTGACATCATGTCCCTTAGATCCAGTGATAACATGCTTTCTAAAGGAATGCCAATGTTGGTTATTTGCCTGTCCTCTGGTTAACATCTCTATTGTGCTTATGTCTTCCATTTTAGCCTCTTTTATATGGTTCAGGAAATCAACTCTATTGGCAGATCGCAAAAAATGTTCTTCGAATGGAATAACCTTTGCATTTTGCACCTCTGTTGCTGGTAATTCTTTCTTTGGCAGTGCTGTAAACAAAATACATTCAGACCTTTTACAGACTGTCTCAAGGGATTTTGCCATGTCCTGCAGGTTAAGCTTATACTCAACATGCTCCAAAGGGTCAAAATTCTTCTTGGGGGAGCAGTTCAATTCAACTTTCTTTTTAACTATTCCTCCTAAAGTGGTCCTCTTTAACTTTAAATCCTTTATCTTTACTGGCTTCACAACTTTGTTGTTGGGTAACCATTGGCAGGGCCTTGAAGTGCAAGAAGGATTGTTAAGTCCCATTCTGCTCACAGTCTCAATCCTAAAAAGAGCTGCTACAACATGATGCATGTCTGAGACAGTCCAGCCATGCATGAGCAGTGTGTTGAGACAATGTTTCCATTACATTTCCCTAAACAGATCCATAGTTTATGTGGGGTATCATTGATTCGCTGTGATGGTCTGCAATTTCCCTTGAGAAAACAGAACTCACTATCATCAGCAATGGGATGAAAAAGTAATGGTGATAGCCAACCCTGCGAATAGTAACTGTAGCCCTTTGACTGTTTATAATCAGAGAGATCATTACTGGAGAGTTCATTTGGATGAAATGACAGAAAGTTATAAATATCCGTATAGAGAGTAACAGGCCAAAACACCGTTCCGTCCTCTTCATTCAGCCAGCCATTTGCAATGCCAAAAGGATCAGGCAATGTCGTACGTCCGACATCAAGCTTCTTCTTGTAATCTGTCACAATCTCACGCTCAACCTCTTCAGCCGGCTTTATCACAGAACGTCGTTTTTGATAGCAACAAATACTCTCGCAACTAATTCCTCTTTTCTACCAGTTGTCTTTAGTCCTCGAAGTCGTAAGAAACTTTTCAACTTGTCAACTTTCATCCCAGACAATTTCGCTAAGTCGGCATCCATCGTTTGACATAGGCCCAAAATTGTGTATAATAGTTTGCGCTCAATACTGTGGTGTGTGAGCTAAGTACTAATAAAAGCTTTGAAGAAAGCTGTTCCGAAGTTCACAAACCACAATAAGATGAATAAATTCGAGAGAAAATGTAACAATCAGTGACTTTATTGCACAGTTTTAGCAGTACGTGAACAGATTTCATACAATTCCTTGTTGCGACTGCCGAGGAAAGAATTTTTTACACCCAAATCTCGTCCCAGTCTCCCAATCGATCCTACCAGCGCGGTTAGCCGAAGTGGTGTATTGTTCGCAGATCTTATTCTCCTACAGAATATGGACTGCGACGTAGGCTATATCAGTTCAGAACTTCGAATAAGGTTTGAATCTACTCTACAACATATCATGTTAGTTGTCTGGCATTATTTTATCTCCTCCCTGTATTAATATTATTTTTGTTTCATAGGTCCATATTTCATATAGCTGTAAATCTTTGTTTGTGATTGTGGCATTTTAATCGAAACAAAAATCCACCATGTGATGATTGTTGGAGAAGACTTGCTCAGTTCAGTTTTATATTTAACTTACCTAATGATACATAAGTAAATTTGTATTGATAAGTATAAGAAATTGGATGGAGCTTTATAATGTTGCTTGACTAATTACTTTATAATGGCAAGTCAATTTGTGTCCAGCAGCAGGTTGGTGGTATCCTTTTGTCAACCTGTAAACTCATTTACCACATCAAACTTCATCCAAAATTGTGGGAATCAGTATTTTTGCATGGTATTGAGAGTGATGTTTCTGCAAGTATGCTTCTGGAACAGTTGGAGCCAAATTATAATGAAAGGCAATTGAAAAGGAACATTGAGACTGATGCTTTCTTTCATTTCTGTAAATTTGCCCATTCACTGCAATGTGGTGGTAAGCTTGAGTCTGTATGTTTTGATAAGAGCTTTAAGTAGACAGTGGCGAAGCTGGACTCCCATGGATGGTCGTGCCCATTGGCCTCTGCGCAAAAGAAATGAGCCTCCGCAATATTATCAAAAAAAATATTTCAGTGATCTAAGGAGCTCATATAGCAATTGCATGGCACTGCATTACTTTTCTGACAAGATAGAAACAAACCAAAATTAAAAGTATAAAAGCTGCTTTTGTGTCTCCCCTGCCTCTAGCTGATACTCAAAATTCATTTTCTTCCCAAAGTGTGATGGAGGTTCCTGGAAACTTTTTTTTATTTTTGGTATTATTGACCCAAATATCAGTTCACAGGATAATAAAGCTTGAACAACAAACTTTTTCTAAAATTTTATCAAATTATTGCAACTATGGGACCAAAATATACACCTGTGGACTCAGATTTCAAATGTATAATGATTGCAAGCACTAATTGTTTTGCACACATAAAATTTAGAATTTCATTCAAAAAATAGACAAAAGTTTGGCTTTAAAGGCAAACTTGACTGTGAAGTGCAAGACATGTATCAAGAATTAGATGACAAATGAAACAGAAACATTAGAATATCTGCTGAAGACAGTAGTGTCATGCAGCATTATTGATCTGACCACAGTTAAAAAGCACTAAATAG